CGGGGAGAATCATAGGCTGACCAGACTTAAGAGATACAAGTGGTCTGGTGTCAAGTTCAAGTTTGCTTTGGCGGCACCTGAATTGTGTGGAATGGAACTAAGGGAAGGAGAGCAGAGGAAGCCTGGACAATTCATTTGGAGTGTCTGCACTCTAAAAGAATCGCAGAGAATCCTTGGGGTGGGGTGTAGCTGTGTCTGTGTCTCATTTACTCCTCACCACTCTCAGGAAGATGTCTTCTCCCCATTTTAGAGATAAGGAAGTTGCAGCTGAGAGAGGTTAAATATCATCTCCAAAGCGATACAGAAGGTATTTGAGAGAACTGAGATTTACATCCCATTCTTTTTTTGTTTAGGGTTGCTTTTTTTTTTTTAAGATTTATTTATTTATTTATACAAGCACTGTGGGTACAGTCAGAAGCGCAGGAGGGTGAGAGAATTCACCAGAGACAGAGAGGGGAACAGAACAGGCAGACCGAGGAAATACACTGCTGAGGGGAGCAGCGGGCGGCAGGAGAGGTCTGCGCGCCATGTGGGACGCTCGCTCGGCGGCCGGGGATCGAACCAGTGCCGCAGAAGCTGTGGGCAGCTTCGCAACCCAGCGCTCAACCGCTGCGCCACCAGGGAGGCCCTACATCCCATTCTGAGGTGAAAATCTATGCTTTTTCACACTGATGTACTAGTCTCCACCTTCTTGCACAAAGGGTGAAAGCAGAGATGGGGGTACTCAAAGTTCCTCGAAGAGCTGAGCAGTTAGATTAGCATAAGAGGTTGGGGTGACAAGGAGGGGTCTGGGGTGCTGGTTCTGGCTATCCAGCTTTCTACCTCCATCACTAGCCAGGCCACCAGCACCTGGCGTGCTGAGACCAGCCTGATGGAGGGAAGGGGAAGGCAGGTAACCAAAGGAGGATTTGCAGGGAGAAGGGAGGACAGAAAGGGGCAGAAGAGAGAGAAAGCTATGGAGCAAAAAACATATACTTGCAAATACTCATCTGGGGAAAAGGACTGTTGGCCGGACCCTTATTCCCAATGTGCTATTGTTATTTAAAGGCACTTCCAGAGCACCTGCCTCTTGGGAGCCTGCCCTCAGTGTCTGCAGGCTGTTTATTCCTTCCTAAACTCTTTCATTCATGCAGGCAGTGAGTCAGCACTGACTGAATATCAAAGTGCCAGGAAGGAATAGTCTATTGAAGGTGGGACATCGGTGGTAGCGAACCATCTTTATCTGGGGGTGGACCCCGTTTTGGGAGCTAGACAACCGGCATTCACAGTTGAGCCTGATGCTGTCATCCTGGGAGGGCTGGGACCCTGAGCTCACTGCCCAGATGCCCCTTATCCAGCTTACCCAGGTGGGGAGTGCTCATGCGGATTCCACCTGATGTGACTGAAACACTGTCCCTGCAGACCCCCTGCAGGGAGGAGCTGCAGTCAGTCCTTCTGCCTAGAACTTGACAGGCAGAGGACTTGGAGGCTCCCGTGTGGGTGGGTCAGCTGGGCTGTGTCTGTGTCTCGCTGTGCTGATGCTCTGTGTGTAGGAGGGGCTGGGATTAGCTCAGAATAGGAAATGTCAGAAAACCCAGGAGACTGAGGCTATTAAATGAAAGGTGTCAGTAAACATATTCTTTCCCTATTAGCATCACACAAAAAGGAGGGGAATAGGAGGGAATAAAAAAGTGAGAGAAAAGATAGTAGTGCAAAGTGAGGGGTGGAGGGTGGCAAGCCCACTGAAAGTGCTGCTGGCAACTGGGGCAGGAGAGACCACCCCCCTACCCCCCACACCTCCAGACCCCTGTCCCTGCTCACACCAGGAGCTTCTGGATGGGTACGGCAAGTTGCCCAACAAACCAGTTAGCCCTTTAGACAGCAATGCCTCATGTACCAGTACAGGGAATCTGAGGGAGCTGCCAATGAAATGACTTGGCATCTGAAGTTTTTGTCAAAGCAATGCAGGAGTTAGACACATGTTGAAGGCAGGTGGTGGGGACATGGAGGTTCTTTATGCAAGGAGTATCTCTACTTTTCCATTGTGTAGCAAATCAAAAGTTTATAACAACAGAACATCTTTTAAAAAGAGGAAAACTATGAAGAAATCACACATGGCAGGTAGAATACTAGCGGAAGAATACAAGCAGAAGTCAGTAGGAGTTGTGTCTTAGGGTTTCTTGAATAAATTGCAAGCCAGGGATTCTTAACCAGAGCATGATGGATGGGTTGCAGGATCCTGAAGTCCCTGTAGCCGTGTGTAAAGTGACCTGATAGTTTCCAGCAAGATTTCAAGAAATCAATAACTCCCCTCACCCCAGAGGTCAATAAATTGTGTCCTCCCAAATGTGCTATCCATCCATTACATACATTAGTTATTTGGTATGTGGCATTTAGATGGAGCATTTATGTTACAGAACCTCTGGGTCCTGTGTCACGGAGATAAACCATGCCCGGAACGCGAGAGAAACTGATCCACCTCACAGCCCAGCTGCCTGGGTCCACTGCCCCTGGGCCACACCTCATCATGGAAGTGGGGGAGGAGGGTTGTGCCCCAGGAAGGGCAAACAGCAACAGCTTGGGGAGCACAGTGTGTGTGTGTATGCAGTGGGTGGGGGGCAGAGAGGTAGGAGAGGTTTGGGAACAGTGTGGAAATCGGTCAGAGGCTCCCTGGTGTGGAGAGTGACAGGCAGGGGTGTTACTGCTGGTGTCCTCTGCCACAGTGGCGGGCTTTTGGTGGCAAAGCACCATAGCACCCTGTGTGACATCCAGTCCCTTGAAGCGAATTCTTCTCAAGAAGTTCAGCTCCCCTTAGGCTCCCCAGAAGGGGCGGAGCAGGTTGCCACTGCAATGAGTGGGCAGGAGAAGTGTGGGTTACTTCAGTGTGGGTTACAACCATGACGACAAGGGTCTCATCCTGGGACCATTTCCATATTTAAGTCAAGGCTTGATGGCCTGCCCTCGCTTCCTGACACATGAAGACATTTTCCCTCCAGGCTGACATTCCACAGGTACAGTGAGAACATGGAATGGGGGCCAGGCCAGGGGAGAAATGGGGGAGTGCCTGCACCACAGGGTGCAGGAATTGCTCTGTGGCTGGGACTGACCTATGCTGGCCACCACTCCCCCTCCCACAGGAGAGCACAGACAGACAAAGACCCCAATGGGGGTCTGAAACCACACAGCTTCTCCGTCAGCACCTCACCTGGCAGCCCCTCTGTTCTCAGCCTTGGAGGGAAGATGCAGACCCTGGGGGGAGTTGGCTGTAGGCTGAAGGGTATCAGGAGGGGCAGGGGGTAGGGGTGGGGGGCAGGACTAAGCAGATCTGTCCCAGGACAGGCCCCATGCAGGTTTGTGGCTGGAGTAAGGCTGGGCCCTCACCACAGGAGGCACTGCCCCTCCTCCCACCTCCCCGCCCCAAGTCCTGGTTTGTGTCTGTCCTTCTTCAGAGCCCTCCACCCCACAATACCTGCTTTCTCAAACTTCCTTTCCAGGGTTGGGCATCTATGTCATAATAGAGTCAGGTGTGCTCCAGTAAGTTCCTCCTACCAGAACCCTGACACCAAGGGCACCTTCCAGATTCCAGCTTCTTCCATGCAGGCAAACTCAACAAGGCAGAAGGTACAGGACCAGGAGCAAAATGGTCAGTGGCAAGTTTAGGGTTCTGTCCCTCCTCCACTAACTCCTTCCCACACATAGCCCTCCCTCTCCTCATAGCACTCTGCCCCTGCCCCAACTCAGGTGAACTGCCAGGAGGAACCGGAGACCTGTGGTGTTTGGGAACAGTGTCCATTTCTGCCCAGGAGCCAAAAGGAAAGATTTGCAATGGAGACTTTCAGAGACACACACCAGCCGAGAGATTTTTCTTAGTGTGGTACAGAACTTCCTTTTATTGTTCTGTCACCGCCCAGAAAGCGTGGGCTCAGGAGGAGGGCCCCGGTAGCAGGCAGATTCCCTGGAGAGGACACAGCTACTTCCAGCCTCGAGTGAAAGGCTCCCGCCGAGCTGGCCAAACTCCAAGCACAGACCACTGAAGAACAGTCTTTTTTTTTTTTTTAAACTGTGCTTTATTTAGGGCTAAGCTGGAGAAAGCGTCATCCAATAGTTACAGAAGGTTACAAGGAGTTTTAGGGAGTTGAGTGTGAAAAGAGCAGTCGTACTGAACTGCAGCTGTTTTTTTTTTTTTTTTTTACAACATCTGGACATCCTAAAAGGAGGAGCCAAGAGAAAGAAAAAGAAAAATTTAAAAATAATAATTAACCAACAAAATAGACAGAAAGAAAGGCAGGAGGCCTGAGAGGAACCAGATAGTTGTTCTTATAAAGCAAAAAAATGGAAAAAATGGTAGGTCCGAGAGCTCCCTGGCCTCCAGATGAACTGGGCGTCAATGAGGAGGGTATCGAGGCAAAATGCCAAAGCAAGTCTTCCCAACGGTGCAAATAAATTATAATAAATATGTTATACTTTAAAATATATGTGTTCTTAAATAATTCAGTGTTTTTTCTGATTCTGAGATTTTTAAGCAATGTCTTTTTTAACTGCTCTAAAGTCATTTACCAAAGATAAATATCGTGCTTTCATTAAATAGTTTTCCTTGTTTTTTTTCTCTATCATTACAATTAAAAGTCCTACAAAATATGCAAATTTATTTACAGAAAAACAGAGCCGGCATCATTTAAACATCCCTGTTTTTCAAAATTCCTTGTAAACAGTTTCAGAAATTCTTCAAAGATTGTTTAGTTTTCTCTCTCTTGTTTAAGGTTTTTGTGTGTGTGTGTGTTGCTTAGTTGTCTTAAGATGAAAGTTCCCAGGTCTCCCTTGCCCGGAAAGTCTCTGGAGCAAGCATGGAAGGCGAGTGAAGCGGAAGGTGTCCAGGGCTTGCAGAGAGTGGGCGAGCGCGCGCAGCTCCCGGAGCGAAGCGAGGCGAGGGTGCGGCGTGGGCCTTGGGGCCGGTGGCGCGGCCTCCACCACCGGCCTGGGCAGCCAGGAGCCCGCCGGTCCGGCGAGTCGGCCTGGCCCTCGAGGACAACGGTGTCCGGCAGCACTCGCGGGGAGAAGGGATTGATGCTCAGTCTAAACTCTACAAAAGGACAGTCCTACAACATCTGGGATTTTAGCAGTAACGCTAACTTCTATAGGTTTTTTTTTTCCTTTTTTATTTTTTTTTATTTTTTGCTTTCCTCTAATTTTTCTTCTATGATATAGGTATTTTAAACTTTTCCTTTTTAAAATTCTGTACAACTATTATGATTTTAAGAGGGGGAAGAGTTAGAAGCATTTACAGACTTTTCACAACAATTATCTTGCCTTGTGAGTCCCTTTTGTCCCCTCTTTATTTTCTCACACCTCACGGTTAATGAGTTGTAATATTTTTGTTGCTTTCCCCAAATATCCACCAATTGGTTCATCTCAACAGCTCCATCCAGACATATAATACAGAAAACCATAGGAAAGTGTCATAGACTCGAATGAGGGTAATCAAAGCGCCTCTTGAAGTATCAAAGAACTATTATCTTGCTGTTTTAAAAGCATCGAAGCATTATTTTTTCTTTTTTTTCTTTTTGTTTTTTTTTTTTAATTTTTTATTACATTTTTTTCATAGAATCGCTCTAAGCTGTTCCAAGAACAGCCATGAGGCAGGAAGGAGGTTCTCCTCCGTTCCCCCTCTATTTGACATAGAGCTACACATCTGCAATAAAAAGTTTGGTCCTTTGGTCCCTAAATAGCTAAAGGAATGACAGATAGAGATGCTCCGTGGCGGCCTCCCAGCCGCCCCCTGGGGACCAGGCCCCACCACACCGCTTGCCCCAGCCTGCCTCAGGCGCCCACGGGCTGGAAAAGCCCCAGGGATCGGTAAGCAGTGTCTCTTCCCAGTTCCCAGCCCTTCAGCCTCCCCATCTGGTCTCAAGTTATTTTGTTTTAAAGTTGCCTTTTTTGTGTTATTTTTTCTCATTTTTCTTCATCATCTTCTTCTTTATGTCATATATATTTTCCCCCAAACACGTGCCCTCTGAACTCCATAGACGCTATACTTCCCTTGAAGAAATGTTACAGTCACAGAGAGTGTCTGGAGTCTTCAGCTTGATTGATATTGGCTGATATGTCAAAGGTGTCATCCAACAGTTCTCATTTATAAATATATATAGAGAGAGGTTTGTTTTTTAATGTAGCCCGTTCAGCATCCTGCCCTAAAATGAAGAAAATCAGGGCTGATTAAGCCATGAGAGGAAACACAAAAGGCATCCAAACACCAAAAGGAGCCTGCCTCGGGGTGTCGGGGGTGTCGGGGTGGGAGCTCTGGGGGATGGCGGGAGGGAGGGAAGAGACCAGCATGAGAATTAGTCATGATCATGATGCATAAGGAAGAAATCAACTCTTCTATTCAGAGCAAGAAACCACTGGGAGGGCTCGTGGTGATGGGCAGAGCTGAGGTTTGCTTGTTGGGAGAGGGTCTCGATTTGGGTCCTTCAGAGTTCAGGATTGGGGGGTGGCTAGGTCTACGGGGAGAATTTGGGACTGTGGGATAGGAATTCATAATTAGACTGATCTCTGAGGGATCTAGCCCAGATACAATATGTATACAGAAGCCTAGCAAACAAAGCAGCAAAAATCTAATCGCCCAGCCCACTGCTCCCCACTTGAGGAATTCGAAGGACGACAGATCTGTGACATGAATTTTGCAGAATCCTTGCCCAGTTCCCAGCCAACTGCTTCTTTCCCGGGGTCAAGCAACTATTTGCGAGGCTATGTATATATATGTATATCTGGATATATGTGTAGAACAGATTCACCTGCACATATGTGGATATACATGGATATGTGTGTATGTATATGCATAGAGACACACATACATACACACACATAATTTTCTCATACATGCCAGGGAATTTAGAGGAAATTCAGAACTTCAAGGGAGTGGATGGGAGAACCTAAAAGAAGTTAGAACAGATTTAATCATCAAACTTAAATGAACTCAGTTCTCAATTTGTTTTGAATGGTGGCTTTTTGGCGTTTTGCTTTTAAGGAAAAAAAAAATCATGATCTGACTAGAATCAGAAGGAGAATGCTTAATCATTGTGAATTAACAAATGAGACTCATCTCCATTCTAGCAAGCAGCTTCCACTTATACATGGGGGTGACTGGTTACATCAAGAAAGTTAGAACTGCAAAGCCCCCAGTGGAGGGGACAAGGTCATGCGTATATCAATCCATGCTGGCAGGTTTTTCACACTGTTGATTCAACAAACAGCAAACCGTACACAGCAGTCTAAACAATTACAACACCAAATAAAATAATAAAAAAATTAAAAAACACTTGTCAAGGACCCTTTTTCAGTTGTAAACAAAAAGGTGCATTTTGCTTTTGTCAGAACTGTTTTTTTCCAAACCAACCAAAAAGCCCTCCCCAACCCCCAGCCCCCCACCTCCCCTCCCAACATTTAATTTAGCAGAAGTGCTACAATACAAACCTTACAATTGTTACCGGGCTCTCTCTCAGAGGCCTCTGGCTTTGTACTCTAGGTTTTTGATTTAGAATTTTTTTTTTTTATCATTCTATTACTGTAGAGATTTTGTTTTTCATTTTTGGTTTTGTTTTTTTTTCCTTTTGAAGTGAGATTTAAAATAGCCTAACTGAAAAAGACCAGACCTAGGAAAGTGTCAATTGAAAAAGGCCCCCAAATTTCTAGAAAAAAATAAAATCACAATATTTTCAAGTGCAAGTAAATCAACCACGCATAGATATTTTTTAGATGTTTTCCTTATTTTTAAGAAAAAAAAATAATGGTTTGCACAGTTAAGTGATCCCATGTTGGAAAATTCAGGAATTCATCTTTATTTTTACTGATTTTTTGTTCTTTTTGTTTTGTTTTTTTTTTTCTCTATGTGACATCTAGAGAAGCATAAAAAAACGCTGAACAAGAAAAACCAAACAACAGAAAGTAAAACCACTGCAAGCACCAAGAACGAAACAAAAATGAGCACAGCAAAAAAGATTGTGGCAGCACAAAAGTCAAGAAAATGCACGTGTGATCATGACTGGCCAATCATCAACTGATACAACATCCAAGGAAAACGCTCCAATCACAGCACCTCCACGAAACTTGACGGCAACTGTCATGCAACCGATTCTTAGCCTTGTTACATGACGCCATCATGTCACACTGTGAACTTTGAGTTGATTTGAACTTACGGATGGGGGACTGTTTTCTCCACTCTCATGTGATTACGTGAACTTTATTCCTAGCTCAGCGCGAGACTGTGGTGGATTTGACTGGCCCTGGTTGGGTTGTTGGAATTTGATTGAATGACAAAAGAAGAAAAGATTTATATATATATATTTATATATGTAGAGAGAGAGAGAGAGAGAAAGAGAGAGAGAGGACAAGAGAGTGTGGGTAAGGGGGAGAGGCGGGGGCGGGGCGGGTGGGGGCGGGGAGTGTGGGAAGGCAGGGAGAGTTGGGGTGGGGGGGTATGAAGAAGGGCAAGGAAGAAGTTAAAACAAAATTAAAAAGAAAAATATTTATACAGCACCAGACCACAGCATCAATCTGAAAGCTCTGATGAGAGAACAGCAGTCAAATCATAAGAGAACTGAAAAGAACTCAAAGGGTGGAGGAAGCCGGCAGACAGACAACGTGGGCACGGCAACACACACACACGCGCACACACACACACATACACACACGGTTGTTTATGCAGACACATGATACACTGTGAACAGTAGCAGAAACTCATACAGGGCCACTAAGGACACCCATCATGCGTTGGGAAGAGGAAGGGCATGGGCAGGTTGGCAAAGGGGCCAGAAAAAAATAAAGCAGCCCCTCAAACCACCTTGGCCGGCAAGCAGACCAGGGAGCAGGCTGGCTGCTTTCATCACCCTTGACTCTTTCTCTCTCCCCCTCACCGCCCCAGCCTGCTGTGGCTTCAGCCTGTGGACCAGCATGGGGAGCCTGTCACGGTGACCCTGATCGACTGCCTGGGGACCGTGGGGTCCCATCCATGAGACGCTTTGCTGCCATCGGAGGGGCCACAGTGACAGCAGCTCAGCCCTCCCGCCCTGGCAGGTCCCACCTGGGCTGCCGTCCAGCAACAGCATCCGCTCACCCCTCCCCCTCCCCCCTCTTTCCTCAGAACCTTCAGAAAGTGAAGACGTTTAGTTTTGAGGTTTAGAGTAAGTCCCGTCAACTTTCCTGGAGCCCTGGAGCATGCCTTGCTGCTGGGCTGATTCCTTCTCACCAGCACCTCATACCGCTTGCTCCCACGGAAGCCCCTGTGGCCAAACCGAAGTTGCTTCTGGCACCTGAAGCTTTTTGAAGGCTCCACAGCTCTGCCCCATCAAAGGGAGGGCTGTGGGGCTCCCTGCGGGGTGGGTCATGCACGCAAAAGGCAAGGCCCACCCCCACCGGAGGGGGGAGTGCTATGGCCCAGGTCTCCAGTCTCTGCCGCTGTCACTTTTGCTCTGCCCACCTCCCTGGCTCCACTTCCTCCTGCCTTTCTTTACCCCCTACACCCCCCGACACACACACAACCTTCCAGACTGACCCCATTTCACAGCCCTGACCTCCCTTCTTTACCACCAGAGCCCGAAGCGGGGGAGACTAGGTCTCCCTCTCGGTCAAGCACTGTCAGGTTACTCCTGTCTCTCCTATTCTAGTCTTTTCACAGCCCTTGGCCCCACCCTGGGAGTCGGGCTCCCTTGTCCTGCCCTCCCCTTATGGTGACCCTTCAGTTTGCTCTCAGGCCCCTGCTCCCCAATGGCACTCAGACCCATGCCAGAGGCTAAGCATCAGGTTTTTCTGAAGTTTCTAGTCCACCAGGCTTACAGACAACGGACTTCCATGCTCAGCTTTGTGTTTTCCATCAAGCAATGTGGAAGGGATGCCTAGAACCATCAAATGTCACCGTGGATAAGCTGCAATGTAGCTGAGAGGCGCTCTGCTCTAAGATCAAACTGGCCTCCAGCTCTCCCTTCTCGAATCTCCTGGCCCCTCCTCCTTCACAGACCCTGCCTTGCTTTGCCCACCCAAGCAGTGTTCTTGGTTCTCCCAACAGCAGCTCTCCCTCACTCACAGTCCAAGGCTGGCATGCCCCCCTCCCCTGCATTTCCAACCCCTCTGGAAAGCTCTTAGACCCACCCAGGATATCCAGGCAGCTTTGGGTGGAAGAAGAGGTCTAAGAATGAGGAGGGTAGGTCTGGGAATCAGGTGTCATGGCAACTGCAACTAAGGGACCCCCTAGGGTTCCAGGCCTGAGCATGTCAGGGGCACCCACTCCTCATTCTGCTCTACCCCTTGGCCTCCTCCCTGCTTTTTTCTAGCTGCCCTTCAGTGCCCTGGCACTGTCCTGGGTACTGAGTCCTCAAGTCTGAACATCCCAAATCCTTCTCCTCAAAGCTCCGCCTAGGGAATGTTCTCATGTTCTCTTCTCTCACATGCACTTGGCCCCCAACCCACAAATACACTCTCACACTCATTCACTCCCTAAGGAGCTTCCCCTAGGGTTCTGCATGTGCTTCTCTTCATTGGGGAGCAGCTGTGTCTCTACCTACAGGGGTCACCCCTTTCTGGCCACCTCTGGCAGAGTCCCATGAGCACATCCCTGGAAGTAGCAGCAGCAGCAGGGTCCTTGACCCATGTGGGGGAGCCTGAATCAGGTCTGGGAGGCTCCAACTCACAGACCGATAGAGAGATACTTAAGGAGAGGAATTTATGGCCAAGCAGAGCCAATTTAGAAGCCAGATCCTAAAAACAGCTGGGCTGTAGCCAGAGAATACCCAGGCCCAAACAGGTCAGACCCGAAGCAGCACCATCGGTAAGGCTCAGACCAGACACTGCAAAAGCCCACTCAGAGCCACAACCCAGGGCCCAGGACTCCACTGGAGTCAGACAGGCACTCGCGTGCTCCCTACCTGCAGAGCTGCTGTGCTCGGGGTCTGGGGCCCAGCAGCAGGAGCTATCCTGACAGAACAGGAATTTGGGTTATCAGCCCACTGGCTGTGGACCTGGCCATGTCCACATTTTTGCTGACTCTTCCTACATTTTTGCTGACTCTTCCTACTCTTCCTCTTTCTTATTTTTCTTCTTAGTTTCCTGGTAAAGATTTCTTGGAGAAACTCCCCTCTTAGCACAAAATGAGCCCAAGCAACCAGAGGGGTCAGGGCAGAGGGAAGTCAAGAAACCCTCAGGAAGGAGAGCCACATGACTGTGGGAGACATGGGGATGCCCAGACCCTTGCTGATCCCTCCACTATACCTCATTTATATATTTAATGAGCGCAAATCCAATCTGGATGCACGCCTGCTCCCTGGTTGCCTTGCCTGAGTCCCTGTAACTTCCCTTTCCCCAGACCTGCCACAGTGCCACTCTGCTCTGACTGGTCTTGGACCAACACACTATTGCATCTTCTGCCTCCACCACCAATCCTAACCCTGAGATCCCCCTCACCATCACCTCTTTGCTTCTAGCTATGGCTTGTCTCTCAGCCTCTGCTCGGGTCAGCCCTAACCTTTTGAGCATCTAAGATCCTGGTTCAGGACTCATCATTTGTAAACACCCTTTATTGGTCTGTAAATCATGCTTCTGTGTGCTGTTCCCTCCCTCAGTGACAGTCTGACAGGGGCCACTTCCCACTGCAGTCAGCCTAACTTAAGAAGCCCCCCCACCCCCATCTTAGCACTCTCTTCCTGCTACAGCTTCTAGAACTCCCTCACACCCTGGACTGAGTGGTCCATGCAATAGGCCTCTGCTTTGGGCCCTACACACTGGTAACACAGCAGCTAGTGATGCTGGCTGTGAATCACAATGCCAATGAACCAGATGGATCTCTGACTCAGAGCTCTCCATGGCTCCACTCTCAGCCCCATTTCAGAGGGGAGGCTAAAGTCCACACAATGGCCTGCAGGGCATAGGGTTCCTGCAGGACATGACCTTCCCCACCACTGAGATCCCCTCTCTTACTGCACCCACTTTTCTGGCCTGCTCAGCATCAGCCACCTTGGCCTCCTGCTGTTTCTCAAACACACCCTCCTCACACTGCAGCCTTTACATTGTCTGTTCTCTCAGACAGAGGTCTTGCTCCTCCAAACACTGGCATGGCTACCTACCTCACCTTTTTCAAGTCTTTGATAAAATGTCACTTTATCAACCAGGCCTACCTGGCTACCTGATTGAAATGTAATCAATGCTGCACACTATGTAATTTACACTTTGATTATGTCATATGCTAAGGGCAAAGATTCTTATCAGTCTTCCTCACTGCTGAGCCCCTACCACAGGACCAGGAGCACAATTACAACTGAAGGGATGGAGGGACAGAGGGCAGGCAGCCTGTCCCTGGTCTGTGAATCAACTGGAGCTGCAGGAGCACACAGCCATGGGGGAAGCCAGGCTGAAGGTGGACTTTTGATGGCCTGGCACATCTCCCGCTCACCCTTCCCCGGGAGAAAAATGCAGCTGAGGTGGCTGCTAGGCAGGACCCAGACTAAACAGGAAAAAGTGACAACTACCTAGTCGTCATAGCCCTGCGTGCCCCACCCACAGTAAAGTGAGCGGGATAAGTGGCTCCTGTGCCATACCATCACCCTCCCTGGCTTCTGTCCATCCTGTTTTGAATTTAGGTAAAAGTGCCTTTGAAAAGCCCTGTCCCTCCTCTCCAGACCGAGCTATGGGGAATAGGAAGGCCGAGGGGGTCAAGTGTCTAAAGCTCCCCCTACGAGCTGGGGAGAGGAGGGCCAGGGAGTCTGGGAGAAGGCCCAGGCAGGTGGTTACAGCCCCTAAGAGCCTATTCCGCCCCCAAGCTCTTGCCATCTGCTCACCCCAGAGTTTCTGGCAAACTGGATTGCCACTGCAGATCTGGAGGCGCGGGCCCAGGGCTGGTGCCTGCATCTCCGAATGGTTCCCTCTCTCCTGCCCCTCTTGGTTCTACAGCAGGGGATGGCCTCGTCCCTTTCTGCCGGGAGCCAGCAGCTCCGCGACCGCCCCCGGCACTGGGCACGGAGCAGGTCGAGCCGAGCCGGGCGCAGCGGGTCCAAGGCACCAGCGAGGTCCAAGCCCACGGAGGCCGCAGGAGGCGACGGGTCCGCCCGGAACCCCCTCCCCACGCCCCGCCCCCGCGCCCCGGCCGTGCCCGGTTACCTGTGCGAGTCCTGGTCTCCCCCGGGGGACGCTCCCGCCGGCGCTCAGTACGGGCGATTGGCGTCTTTGGGCCGCTTCAGCTGCACCTTGAGCCTCTTCATGCCGATCTGGAAGCCGTTCATGGCCTGGATGGCGGTCTGCGCGCTGGCCGGGTTGTCGAAGCTCACGAAGCCTGGCGAGACACGAGGGACGAGGGCCTGGGTTTCCACGGGGCCGCCCCGGCGGGGAGGAGGGGGGGGTGGGGAGGGTCGGGCCGCGCGCGGGGCGGGGCGGGGCGGGGCGGGGCGGGGCGGGGCGGGCGGCGGCCCCTCCCTGCGCTCCCGCCGCGCCTCCGGGCCGGGGCCGGGCCTCAGGCGCCGCCCCCTGCGGCCCCGCCCCCGGCCCGGCCTCGCGCCCCCCTCCAGCCCGCGCGCCCCTCCCGGGGTGGGCGCGGCCGGGGCTCCCGGCCTCACCACCTGCGCGGCCGGGCCGGGCCGGGCCTCCCCGGCGGCCCGGCCGTACCTCGGCTTCGGGCGGCGCCACTCGCCCGGGCGCCCTCTCCCCCAGGCGGGGTGCCCGCGGCGCAGCGGGGCTCCGAGAGGCACCGCCCCCCTCCCCGGCCGGCCCCGGCACCTCAGCCCTCTCCTTCGGTGGGAGAGGGCGGACACACCTGCGGGTGGAGGAGTTTATTGGACACTGTCCTCCCTGACAGGAGGGGGCCTGGCAGCGGGAGGGCACGGGGTGCCGGCCTGGGGAGAGAGAGGAATGCGAGGCGGAGGGAGGCGAGGCACCTCGGAGAAAACCTCTCCAGCGCCCTTTCCGGCCGCCCTCCCTCGCGAGCGCCGCCGGCCGCCGGGGGGCCGGGGCTGAGTCCTCGCGGCCCCTCCGCCCCCCTCCCGGTCCTTGCCGAGGCTGAGCTCCAGCCAGGCGCCTGGCGGACACTGGGGTACAGCTGCACCGACTCGCAGGAACCCACCCGGGGGCTGTCGACACCTCCCCTTTACTTCTGCAAAATCCAAGCCCGGGGAGCCGGCGCTCTTTCCCGCAGGAAGCACACCTCGAGCGAGGTGTCCGCTGGGATGGTTGCAGCGACAACAGTACAAGTAAACACTATTTGTAAAAATTAGGTGAGATCCTTCTCCATGCACCATGGCCTCCTGAAGTGCTTTTCACACCGCGCGCCCCTCCCAACGTCCCAGGGCCGGACAGAGAACCTTGGCTGCCTGTCACCTGCTGAAACCATGCATCGCCTTCAAGAGGCTACACTTTACATCAACATTTCCCCAAGTGACCCTCGTAGGGAGGTGCTCCTTAGGAGAAGGGCATCTGAGGTCCAGGGGTTTACAGCCAGGCCCCACTGAGGTAGTTCAAGACACATTGACAAATAAAAACATGCCCCCTCCCCATTTCTCCAGTAAATAAACCGTTATAGCTGTGTTTAACCTGGCATTTCCTGGAATTTATTTGACTTTAGAGGACTTTGCTTCTGTAAAATGCACTTGAAGCCTGCAAAATCTGTAAAACTAAGCTTGGTGAAGTTCCCAGGCTGTCCTGCAAAAAAGCCTGACTTGGGGTGCTTGTCCTGAAACAGCCATTAGATCTACAGGGCATAGATGTACACACCCCGTTGATGGAGAAGCTGTTATCTTGGTTAATTGTTCCTGATTCCTGGGCTCTCCCCATATGTGGTTCTTTCTCCCTTTTTTACCTCAGCCCTAGACACTGCTTCCATCTGGCTTCTGGCCTCTTTTCCTTTTCCTCCCATCTCCTTCCTGTGTAGCCACAGGTCATTAAAGATTGGGGGGCATAGCAGGGGGGGGGCCGGGGAGGTGCAGGTGAGTGTACTCAACAGTGCCTGCCCCAGAGCATGGATGGACCAGGTAGAGCTGGGCCCAGAGCAAGCAACCAACACCCATGTCAGTCCAGATGCTGAATGGCTATGCCAACACAGACAGGGAAGATTCCGGGATATCCATAGTTGGAGATGAACATGACCCATCCTTCCACCTTCTCCTCTCACTCCCTCCTGGCCCATCACACCCCTCTCCCAACCCCTCCCATCTGTACCTCTGATGACTATGGTCAAGTCCTTAGCAGTGCAGAGGGGGTTCCTAATGTGTGAACTGTGCTTCTGTTACATTGCTCTCCCCTAGATTAAGGAAGGTGTTTGAACTAGTCTCTTTCTGCAGGGACAAGGGACAAGATATCCTAAGTGTGTGTGACAGGTTACACTGCTCCCTCTTCCACGACGTGAACAATACGGGAAGGAAATGGCAGAAAGAAAAACAGGCTGAAGATGCTGTCCAGAGTGAGGTATAAAGGGAGGGACAGCCACTGAGTGGGGAGAGTGGAGGAGAGGGAGTCTTAGAGGAAGAAAGAAGCTCGGCCTTTGTGGTCAATTTTAGGTTCTTTGGAAGTCCCACGTTGGGAAGTCGAGGCTCCGGGGAAGTCTTCCTCAGCTAGTTTTGTTAACCAGCGAGCGGTCAGGACAGTCCACTGACTGACACCCCACCAGTTTCTAAGGCTGTCTTCATCTCCCAGAGCCCCCTTCCCTATTCCACCCACCCTTCAGCAAGTTCCTGCCTCCCACCCCAAGGGATCAGGCAGGTAGGATGGCATCCGTTTGGTCCTTCTGCCAAAGTGGCAACATTTGTGCTGCACATATGCTCACAGGACCTCGGGAGAGTCCATTTATGCTTATAAACTTGAGTGGGGCCCTTGAAAGGATCAACTGGGACGATTTTCATGGCAAAAACAGCCCTTCCTTTGTGGAATAAAGGGAATAAAGCACTTCCTGAGGGTCTGCTCTGGCCAATCCCCTCACATACAGCATCTGGTGTAACCCTCACAGTACCCCTGAGGGACACCTGCTGGAGTCTCCATTTCACAGATGAGGACACTGAGGCTCAGAGAGTTCAACAACTTGCTCATGAATGAAGTGAGTGCTCAGGTCTGTTGTCATGTTGAAGGTAGGGAGAGGGAGAGAGAGAGAGAGAGAGTAAGAGAGAGAGAGAGAGAGAGAGAAACACACCCAAGAAGCTTAAGGAGGAGCCAGCACAGCAGGAACCTGTCCTTTTCTTCAAGCCAGCAGGTGTTTGGCACTAGTTTGTTCAGGAAGAGAGGAAAGAATAGAGGTAAACAGAGGATGCTTTCTAGAACAAATAGGGAAAAGGCCTTGGTCCTGGAGAACTTAAATGGGCTAATGGCAATGTTTGGATATGTTTGAGGCTGACTCCAAATGGATGGCTTTGAAAAACCGGCTGCTCCCATGCCAGGGGCAGCACAGATGCAGAGAGATGTGGCTGGAGACTGAGCATGCCCAAGGGGCCCAGGTCTTTCTGGGCATTTAGCAGATTTCTTCTGATTTGTGCAACATCTGTGACTTACTTACAGAGCCAATGTGCATGCTCTCCAATTTGTTGTTTTACATATATAATTTGTCATGAGAAACAATGGAGGGTGCAACCTTGGCTTTGGGTTTGTCTTCTACCACAGAGAAATGAGCTGCTGGGGCAACAATGCCACTGAAGTACCACAGATTTCCTGTGGCAGCTGCATAGGTCCTGGGGTACAGAAGTCTTGAATGCTGGGGAAGCAGGCTCGAAAACCTCAAGCTCTTTGTGGTTCTGGAAAGTAGGTGTTCCGGTGGGTCTCCAATAGTACCTCTGTATTATATGCTTCCTGATGCTTCTACACTTGTCTACCTTCCCCCTACCCTAGCCCTAAGCTGTAACCTGGGCAACAGCCCTAAGCTGTAACCTGGGCAACAGAGACTCCTACTGTGTCCTCACAGCCCCAAAATCTGAGGGCCAATCTGGAGATGCTCAGCTTCCAGCAGACTCAGCTCTGGTTCTATGTGTGACTCTCTGTGGACTGGGGACTAACTCCCTGGGGACTCATGAGCAGATCTGGCCTCAGGAGGAAGGACTGATGGAGGGGGAGAAGGAGGTGGGAGAGCGGTGAAGGTAGCGGGGTGGAATGGATCAGAGATGAAGCGGGAGGTCTCAAGCAAATCAAAACACAGGGTGACCAGTTAAGTGGAATTTCAAATAAACAAAGAATACTTTTTAGCAGAAGCAGATCCCAGCTGTATGTAATATTTGGGACATACTTACACTGAAAATGTACCCAATGTTCATCTGGAATCCCAGGTTAACGGGACACCCTGTATTTGATCTGATCATGCTCCTAGATCCTCCCAAGCTCCCTGTCCCATCTTAACACTCTGCCACCTGGCAAACTTCTTGAAAACTGTATCTCCATTCTATTACTGCCATCTCAAGGCCCTCCCAACATCTCCCACCCACCGTCTTCTACACCAGTGAAGCATCCTCATCTGCACGGTCAAAACCCTCCCAGCACAGACCCTCCCTCACCACTGGTCTCCCCCCATGCCCCTTTTCTCCCCAGAGCCTCCTGCTTCCTCATTCACTGACTTTGGACACTTCTCATTCCACCCCCACACCCTGGTCCACTACATCCTCCCTGCCTGCCACTCCCTCCCCTGCCTGCATGTCTCTTTACAACCACCTGCCCTTCTCAGTACTGGTGCCTCAAGAGTTCACTGCGGGGTAGTTGTGATTTTTACCTAAGCTCAGACCTGAGGCTTCCTGAGGACAGGGATGTTTCCTCTTCCTGACTCCTCAACAATGTGGCTCTGGTGGCCTGAGAGGGGCAGGTGGGGGAAGGAGGCTCATTGGATGACAGGAGGGGAGCAAAGAGCAGGGAAGACAGAGAAGGAGGTAGGGGACAGGAGAGAGAGGTGGGCAGAGGAGGCCAAGGGGCAGGCGGGGTAGGGGCCTCGGCTAGGCGGACCCCCCACTCAAGGATCACGCTCAGCCCAGGGCCTCTCTGACCTGCAGAGGAGAGGGGTGCTGGGAGAAGCCGCCCGGGCTCCCTGCCCTGCCCCCCTGCCCCAGCAGGCCCTCCTCCTCCTTAGGCTTGGGGGTCGGGCCTCAGGGCTGGGAAAGGAATCGTCTCTTGGGCTGGGAGGGAGCCGGGCAGGGGTGGGCTGGGCAGGGGAAGCCAAGCAGCTGAGCTGAAGGGACAGAAGAGAGAAGAGGACGGGAGGAGGAGGCTGGAGGCGGGCGCAGGGGGCATCTGGGGTGGGGCGGTGTTAGAGGAGGTGGCCGCCGCGAGCACCCCCTGTCCTGGGTGAAGCGAGTTGGTTTGTTATCTGTACCCACCAAAGCATTTACTTTGGTTAGTCGCCCGATCCACAAACACTTTCGAGGAGATGACATTACCGAAAGGGAGGAACATCTGCATCAGCTCAGCGTCCCCGAGCTCCTGGGGCAGATGGTAGATGAACAGGTTACAGCCCTCGGGCCCTGCGTGGGGGGCGGGGGGAGGGGTGGCGGGGTGGGGGGGAAGAGAGAGACAGAGGAGAGGTGAGCGAGTTAGGCAGCGGCAGCAGGGGGAGGTGGGGGCGAGGTTAGGAGGGGAGGTCTCATCCAAGATCCAGAGGCGGCCACAAAAGAGGGGGTGGCTGAGCCCTGGGTCTGAGCTCTGGTCTCAGCTCTGCCTTTGAGCAAGTCACTGAACCCCTCTGCGCCTCAGTAGCCTTTCCTGCAAAATGGGCCTGTCACAGCGTGCCTGGCGACTCTGAGGCTCCAGGGGAGGGTAGATGAGTGAATGAGGTGAAGTCAAGGCCTGACCAACCATGGAAATGAGGTGCTGAGGAGAAGCAGGGGTAAGGAGACCTGGGAAGGCCTGCCAGCTCCTGCTTGGGGAGGATGAGGGAGGTGCCCCAGGGCAGCCACTCGTGCTGGTGAGAAACTTTACATCACCTCCCCCAGGCCTGGCCAGCTTTCCAAGGCCTGGAATCCCCCCAAGGGGTGGTGGACTGCCCACTCTCCTCCCCAGTCAGCAGCCACTGCTTCCTGTCTGGCCCCCAAAGTCTCCATTCTCCTCTCCTGAATATTCAAACTCAGCCCTGGTCATGAGGGCAGAAACCAAAATTTATACTGCCTCCTCCAGCCACTAGGTATGGAGGAGGAGGAAGACAGCCAGGCTCCACGATTACCAAGGGGACCAGCTAGCCCTGTTACAAGAACGGCTCCCCATTTCATACAATAATGCAGCCCTGCCATTCCTATAGCATGAACTACAGGTCAGGTGGTTCTAAGCACTTTGTAGGCATGTTCATTCACCTCCTTGCAGCGGTCTTGTGAGGCAAGTGCTATTGTCATCCCCACTTCACAGATAAAGAAACTGAGGCCCAGAGAGGTTATGTCACCTGCCAAAAGTCACACAGCGAGTAAGGGGTGGAGCCAGGATATGAACCCAAGCCACCTGTCTCCATAGTCTTTGTTCTCCTCTCTCTCTGTCATAAATCCCAGTGCCAGAGAACCCCTGAATATTGTTGTGACCTTTGGAGTTCCGAAATTCCCAATAGCTAAAGATTTACAATTTCCTTTTCAAATGACCAAAACGTCCCATTTTAACTCTTTGACATGGAAATCTTTCCAAGTCGCTTTATTTCCTGCCATCTTAAATGGAGTACACCACATGTAATTTAACCTTTTAAAGTGTGGTTGTATCAAGCATGGTTTCCAACCTGTAAAGACATGCAGGGGGAACTGCTGCGTTTGTTAGAGGTGAGTAAGAACTGAGGTTCTCATCAGAGACAGGTGGAAACCAGCATGAGCATCACCGTGAAGGCTATCGGGCACCCACGTGGGCTTGCACAGCCAGAACCAGCCTCTATTCTCCATCAAATAACACACTTGGGGAGCAAAGAGCTCACTTTGGAGTCTGACCTTCTCTCCTCTTCTCTCCCCTTCTATTGCCCTCTTTCCTCCTGCCATAGACCTCCGTCCCCTTGAGGTTCATAGTCGATAGCAAAGACTCCTCTGACCACAAAGCTGCCCTCTGAGCTGCTGACCTCCTGGATCCTTCACCCCTGCGCCATCTGTCCCCGCTCCCACCTCCCCTCCCTGGACTGTCTCCCAGGCCCAGTGCCAGCTGACGGCGCGTTCAGAACCGGCGCAAGCATGCTCCCTCACATTCTTCCAGGGGTCCCCACTTCTGGATCCCCCAAGTTCCGGTGACCTTCCCCTCATAGTAGCTCCCCCAACTGGTGTTCTCCCTAGGCCATGTGTGAATGTGCCCTCGACTGTCCCCTGCTCCATGTGAGTCTCCTTGGAGCAGGAACCCGCTGGCAGGACCCCTCGCCGGAGACTCCCCACCACCGCTCCTCTCCCTTCCATGCTTCCTGAGTCCATAGTCCATAATCCGCTCTGGGGCTTTCTCCCTGTCTGGAAGGTTTTCTTTCCAACCAGGCTGGGACAAGGGCATTTGCCTCCCTTCCCCCTGCCACCCCCCCCCCCACCAGCGTGTGCCTTTCTTCCTCCTCCCCCTTTCTTCTGGCTTCCCTGACCCTCCACCCCATGCTGACACCTGCCTTCAACTTGGGACCCTCCTCTGAGTTTAGGTTCTGAAAGCTGCTTGAAGAGGGTGTTTAGCTTGTTCTTAAAGCAATAAGGGGCTCTGGAGGGCAATGTCTACAGGCTCAGTGCCAGCCCAGCATGTGATAGCAGGTTCTCTCAGCTCCAGCCTAGTCCCCTGCCCCTCCCCCCAACAGTGAGCCTACCCAGCCTAGTCCTGCAAACCAGGCTTCACTGCATTCCCTCATCACGGATCCCAGAGCATCCAGGACGCAGGACCGGCAGGACTTTACAGGTAATCTGTTTCCAGCCTCCTGAGAAATGGTGAAACAGAGCTCCAGAGACAGAATGTGACTACCTTGACCACACTACAGGCCCTGCCGGAACCAAGGCTGGGCCATCCCTGAGGTAACTTTGCCTGCTCCTGACCCCTAAGTGGGATCCAGGCATCTGGTTTTCAGGTTCAGCTCAAAGATGAGGAGCTGGAAAGAGGGTCCTCCCCATGAGGCAGTATGTCCTGGTAGTTCAATGGCATCACACCAGAAAGGCCAACCACCAGCATAGCTGGAGGAACCCAGTCTTCTTTCTTGTCCTTCCTTATGTATCATGAGGCTTTGGTCTGGCCCCAGCCCACCCTCAGGCTGTCTCCCCTGTTCCCAGGCAGCATCATGCCTTTGCACCTGTTCCTCTGCCTGGAATGCCCATCTTTCCATCTCCATGTTCTAGAAATCTTAACCTTCGGGAACCCCAAAGTCTTCCCTGACAACCCCAATCCCAGCACCATGAGCTCATCCTCAGGCAGTATGGCTCTGTAGGTAATGGGTCACGAATCATCCCCTCCATAACCTACTCCCCCAAGATAGCTCATTCTGTGCACCACAGTCAGGGAGAATGGGGACAAGAGCAGGGGGCCCCTCCACCCAAGAGGAAACTGGGGGGCAGGTCATACAGGGTCTGGCCTAAGAAGCAGGGCACGGGGGTGGGTGAGTTATAGCTGCTTGGGAGATGGAGAGAAGCATGAGGAGTTCAAGTGGGACTCATGGGGTGGGATAGAGTTTGGGGGGGCAGGGGCGGGGGACAGGTGGAAGACCTGAGTTTAAGGCCAGAGGTGGGGCTGTCACATGTATCAGTCAGGGCAGCGTTGACCTGTAGCCGTGTTTGTAATTGTGTGTGTATGTGTGGGGGAGAATGGGGGCAGAGTCTGGAGACCAGTGAGCCCAGGTTGGAGTAATAGAGGATGTTGACTAAGGTTGAGGCTGAGTCAGCCTGAAGCTAGTGGGGTGACAAAATTAGGAGGGCCCCTAGGCACAGCTCTAGGCACACCTCTGTGGTATGGACCTGGGACAGGAAACAATGAAACTCTTAGACACCCCACCTCTAAAGGGCTCTGTTTTGAATGAAGGCGTGCTTTGGGGGTAAGAGAGCTGGGGCAGGTCAGGCTCCAGGGTCAGAGTGTCCCAGCAAGGTGACACTCTGGTGGAGGTAGAGCTGATGTACAGATGGTGGGCCTAGGAGTGAGAGAAGCAGCAGGATGTGACTACAGGGTGTGGGCAGGGGTCCCACTGTGCACCCTCTGGGTTCCTGTAGCTTGGTTTTCCTGGCCATGGGGAGAAACAGATCTCAGGAGCTTCCTAGTGTGTATAAAATGGGGTGACATGCCTCATGTATGACTTTTGAGGGGTGACAATTGTTAAAGGAAGGGCCACGTGCACAATGAGAAATCCATGGGCAACTTTAAGTGTCCAGAAGGTAGACTTGAGCTAGTGTCATCCTCATGGCCTTCTAGAGAATGGCCACCACTGTCCTCATTTTACAGATGAGGACATCAAGGCTGAGAGAGGTGTTGCTGACTGAGGGGGGAGTCAGACCCATACAAATTTGCTGAAAAGCCCAGGCTCTCAGGCACTCAGGGCTCCGCGCCTGTCCAGGGTCTGTCTGACCAAATGGGTTTGGCCCAACGACCCCCAAGGTCTTTTCCAGAATTAACCTATATCCCACAGTTCCGGGACAGTCTGCTGCAGGGGTTAGGAACCGATGATTTAGAGGCTATTGGAAGCCCCTGGCCATGTGGGTTATGGGGGCAGATACGGAGGCTTCACTGGCAGGGTGACATTTTCATGGAGGTGGGGAGCACAGGGCTATGTCAGTGTTCCTGCCCTTATCCCTCAAATTGAGCTCACTATGAGCAGGTTCACAGAATTCCCGGAGTGGGCTTATACTGCTGCAGTCTCAGGCTCTGGAGTGGAGGACATGAGGGCCTCTGAGGCCAGCCTTCTGAGCCCCACCAGCTCTGCCTGGCCCTGTTCAACACCAGGGCCTCTGGCCACGGCTTTCCAGGCAGCCCTTCTTCCACTGGCCTGTCCTGGGGCCTCCCATGACCTCACAGGCCAGGGAGTCCTGCCTGCCATCCGAGAACCACTCTTTCTCCTGGTCACCAGAGGGCACCAGTTCTGTCCATAATGTAGCGGCCTCCCTACCTCCCCCTTCCTCTCCACCAGCTGAAGCCTATCCATCAGGGGAGGGGGGGTTGTTGGACCCCACCTCTTCTAGGACCCCACCTTCCTGACCTCCTGCCCCTCTGCTTTGCAGAGCTGCCCATGAGAAGTGAACCTCTGAGCTTAGGTGGGAATGTGCCCCACTTCACGGCCCTGTTTTCCTCCCTCACCCTCAACACAACACACAGCCGTGGTCACCTTCCCAATGAAACGCCCCAGCCAAAGGCCCAGATGACCAGCCTTTTGGGGGAGACTTGGGAATGGGGAGGGGCCTGGGAGCCCCGGCTCGAAGACTCACCTTCTCTCTGTTGCTGGGGGATCATTGGAGGTGGCTGAGGAAAGGCCTGGCTTATCTGACCATAGGCAGCAGGGTAGGCAGCTGCTGGAGGGCCAAAGAGTAGAGGCAAGAGCGAGAGGCGGTGACAGTGACGTGGAGAGAGACAGGGCAAGAGGCAGGAAGAAAGAGAGAAGTTTCAGTATCGAGCAGTAAAAGCAGACCAGCCAAATAGTGCATTTCAGCTCAGCCACTTAGGTAAAGCCAGATCTCAGCAGTGTACAGGAGAAGCAGCACAGTGAAGATCAGAAGCTGTGTGTGTGTGTGTGGGCATGCGTGCGTGTGTGCGTGCATGCGTGCGTGCGTGCGTGCGTGCGTGCGTGCGTGTGTGTGTGTGTAGACGAGCTTAATCTGAAACAATGGATAACACGCACAGGTGGGTAACCCACAGTAACAGATAACCAAAACCATCAGAATGTCCTTGTTTGGGTCAGTCACACCACCTGGAACCCCGTTCGCTGAGCCACAGCTGACTCGGGCTCACGCACCCTCACTCCCACTCGGATGGCTCCTGGGAGGGAGGGGGCATAGCCCCAGCTGTGGACTTGGTCCCGCGATCACACAGGCGGATGGTCTCCGGGGGCAGAGGACTGAGTTGGACATACCTTGTGTTTCTGTATTCCATTGGAAGGGGCCAGAGGTGGGACAGGAGTCGTGACCCCTCCTCAGCCTGGCTGGGTGAGAGCTTGGGGGAGGGGGACCCAGATGCTGAAAGAGCTTCCCTGGGCTCCGGGGGGGTCGGTCGGAAGCCAATGTCACCTGAGTCCCCAGGGGCCAGAAAGTCTCATCACCCTCAAGAGAGCGATTGCTGGATCTTCTAACCACAACGAGGAAGAACCCTGACCAGCTAGATGACAGGACACTAGTTGGGAGGTGGTGATCATGCTATGAATGTGTGTGCATGTGTGTGTGCATGCGTGTGACCCAGTGCCAGGCAAGAGGGAGAGGAGAATGGTGACAGCCCGCCATGGGCCTCCTGCCGTGGCTCCTCGCCTTCCCATTCAGTGACGCGGGGCCACGTGATAGCACCAGACTCTTCTTGCCTCTTTTTCTTACGACCTCTGGCTGCTTATCCTCACTGTTCCCATCATCCTTGCTCAACCCCCACTCCTCCTGCCTGTGTCCTGACTGTGGGGGGCAGGAGTGGGAAGTGCTCCCCATCAGGGTCTCTCCATCCCTTAAACCCAGGCATCTATGGCTCTTGGTCAGTGACTGGACTGCAGGGAACAGCGCTCAGACCTGACCACCCTCCCACCCTTCAGCCTCTCTGCTGTGTGATCCTGGACAAACTGGCCCTGGTGGCACCACAGGGAAGGGAAACTGGCTTCAAGGAGGGGTAACTTCATAGCAAGGTCAAAGTTTCAGCCTGGCTCACCAACTCGTCCGACCTTCTAACCCCCTCTGATGGCCAGGGCACCCTGCCATGTTGGGCGAACTCTGCCTGAACATCAGGTCGCTGGCAGAGAAGGAGGTGGCCTGGGTGGGTGGGTGGGGTCTCTGCCAAGATAGTCCTCCCTCCTTCAACCACATCTCCCTCCACCCCCCTCCTCCACCCCATGCTGCCTCCCTCTCCCGCATAAGCCTGGAGTGGGGAGGGGGCCCTGGTGCCCGGGGTGGGGAGACCATGGGGGCGCACGGATACTAACGACCTGCATACTGCTGCACTCCAGCGTAGGCCTGCTGCAGGGGGTCCGCGGCGGTGGGGCTCTGCGCTGCAGGGAGCCAAGGAGGCAGAGGTCAGTGGTGCCCACCCAAACCGGCCCCGCTCCCACCGTGCCCATGGAGATGACACTGTGGCTGCCGGGCTCTTCTCAACCACTGTAGTGTCTACATCTGACACAGGTATGGGACATCTGACACAGGAACCCTGAGTGCCTGGGCCCTATTGGGGTCCCCCCACCTCTATCCCAGGGTAAAAAGTAAGAAGGGAGAAGATTGCCCGCCCAAATGGGGAGGCAGGCTGCAGCTGGCCTAAGGTGGGAGGGCAAGGGTGGCTCATGCAGAAGGCTGAGAAGGGCTGGGAAGGAGATACCAGAGGGGTGCCTGACCATGAGGGACAGGCTCTAGGGAAGGGCTGTGGGAAAGCGGGGTTACTGGTCGTCAGGAGGATTCTCTCATCCTCATTAATCTCAGCAGAAGTACGGCAGGGGCAGGTCCAAGCTGGGTGAAAGAAAGGGCACAGGAGACCTCAGCTTGCCATTCTGACATCTTGGGGCACCCAATGCCTGCTCAAACTGAGGGACCCCCCTCCCTCATTCTTAGGGAGCTGGCACAAGGCATGGAGGTCTTCCACACCTAGGCCATACCTGAGATACTCTCAGCAGGGACTGGCCACAAATAATGAGGTCTATTTCATCTATCTCACAGGCTGGGAGCGGAGTGGAACCCACAGAAATTGAGGCACCCGAAGACTAAGGAAGGACCTTCCTCCCACCTGATCTTATCAGCCTAGGGTATTATCTACTGTCCAGTGCAAGGAGAGGACCCTTCTGCTGATACTGAGGCAAGAAACCTGGGGCAGCTGCCTGGGGAAAAAGCCTGGTTAACTTCTGCTTCTTTGTCGGCAGAAGCTGCGACAAACCCCCTGGAGCACAGGCCAGTGGTGCCTTGATGATCAGGGTCAGTGATAAATAACAGAGAGGGCTGGTCTGGGAGGCCCAGGGAGGTGGATGAGGAAGCGTGAGTATATCTGGGGGCAAACTGGGTAACACAGGGTGCCAAGAAGAAAGCTATCTGGGCTTATCTGTTGGTGACCCAGGTCAGCCAAACTAACTGGCAGTAAGAATCCCCAAGTGTCCCTTCTGAGCTCTCATCCTGAAACTCTCGATAACATTCTACCACAATAGCACCTGGGTTTCAGGAGAACCCAGGAAAGTCCTGGGGCACAATTCCTTAGAGACTGGCGCTCCCAGTAGTGCTTGGTGGGGTGGTCTCCCCTCCCTCCTGATGCCTTCTCCTGACTCCTCCACCACACTCAACTCTGGAGGGAGAGCCACATCTAGCCCACCCCTGGTCTACGCAGTTGCTCACCCACATAATGTTTTTTTTTTTTTTTAAAGATTTATTTTATTTATTTATTATACCAGCACCGGGTACAGTCAGAAGCGCGGGAGGGTGAGAGAATTCACCAGAGCCAGAGCGGGGAGCAGAGCAGGCAGAAGGACTGAAGTACACTGCTGAGGGGAGCAGCGGGCGGCAGGAGAGGTCTGTGCGCCGTGTGGGACCCTCCTCCGGTGGCCGGGGAGCAGCCGGGGATCGAACCGGCACTGCAGAGGCTGCGGGCAGCTTCGCAACCCAGCGCTCAACCGCTGCGCCACCAGGGAGGCCCTCACCCACATAATGTTTTAATGCAAATTAGAGAAAGGTGTCCCTTCCCCTGGCCACACCATTTGGTGCCCTGTGCAAACATCCCCTGCACAGCTTCCACGGCAGCTGCAGAGCACAGTGCCAGGCTCACAGCAGTGCTCCGGGGAGCTGCAACCCGCAAGATGAATGAAGGCTCCCTAACATCTGGGAGACCCACCCCCTCGGGGAGCCATGTGGCAGAGAGGCCACACTGTGCATTTCCAACACGACCCCAGTGAGCAAGGGGCGCGAAGGGAGAAGCTACCTGGGGCTAGGAAGTGGAGAAAAGCACTCCGAGACCCCTCTCTACTTCTCTGCTTAATGACCTCATTAGTAACTGCCAAAGAGTGAACATTTTGAAGGATCTCGCTCATTACAGCGGCTCCAAACTCCGCATTTAAAGATGGTAAATTAATTTTTTTAATGTACTACTTTTCTCCTTTCCTTCCCTCTATCCCTCCCTCCTGCTCTGGCAGGGAATTGTTTATGGGATGTGGCAGATTGTTACAAATGGGGGAGAGAAACATTTCCAAATTCAATGAGGGAAACAGCTCACAGATGCTGGTGGGGGTGGGGAAGGAACAGGTTTGTCAAAATCCAAAGATCCAGATGGGCTTGTGGGCAAGGAGGAGGGGGAAATAAACCACCCAGATGTGCCGGAGACTGTATCTCCCAGCCCAGGAGCCCAAGGCAGGAGAAGACTTGGAGTCTGAGACTGGCGGGGTCTCTCGCCCTCCAGTTTGCCAAGGCCCTCCACTCCCTCCCTCAACAGCCCAGAGTCTTCTACCTTGAACTACACTCTGCTGCCCTGGGCCCTGCCCCTTCCCTCTCTAGACTTCCTGAGTCTCTTCTCTGTGCACTGACGGGTGAGCTGTGGGGCATTAGGAGGGATCAGGAACAACTCAAAGTTCAAAGTCAAAAAACTGTCCTTTATTGCTCTCCAGCACCATAACCTTGTACTCTGCCACTGGGATGTTTATATTCTGAATGTCGAGACATGGTCCACAAAATCTCCGGGCATCTGTGGTTTTACAAGGTCACATACTGGATTCAGAAGGGCACCCTAAGTGGGGAGTGCTCTTTTACCCACCCTGCCCCTGCTGACATACCCCAGGCTGACCTCCTTTTCCTAGTTGGGCCAACCTCTTTATACCCCCTTCCCCTGACGGGCAGGTCCTCCTGCCCTGGGTCTCCAGGACAGCCCCTGCACAGGCATGTGCTCCTTAGTCTTTGGCACCTCTCCAGCTGTTCTCAGGGGAGCTCTGCTGCGCTTCCTCAGCCAACAGAATTGTCCCTTCACTTGAATCCTTTAGCATTTGCTCTTGATCAAACGCTGTTCTACCTAATTGTCTCAGCATTCTGTCATTGTATATTTTGTTCCTGACTGAATTTTGACTTTTTTTTAAAGATTTATTTATTTATGCATACAACAGCTGGGGTACAGGCCAGAGATGCAGGGGGTGAGAGGACTCACCAGAGATAGAGCGGGGAACAGAACAGGCAGACTGACTGAAACACAGTGCTGAGGGGAGCAGCGGGCCAGTCGGAAGAGGTCTGCTGTGCCATGTGGGTAGCTTCCTGGCCAGCTGGGGATCGAACTCATGCTGCAGAGGCTGCAGATTGCTTCATAGTGCAGTGCTCAGCCCCTTGAGCCATCAGGGAGGCCCCCTGAATTTTGACTTCTAAGGGTTAGGTCTTGCCTTCCTTCTTGGGATCTCCTTTAATTTGGCACAGACTGGGCACTTACTAATACTCATGGGCATCTCATAAGTAACCTCACCATCTGCCCTCCCACGAGGAGGATAGCGTCCTCTGCCTCTTGCCAGTCTACACTGGGGCTCTGTTGGGGCCCAGCCTCCTGCTCCGATGTGGGTGCATCCTGAGATCAGAGAGAGGGGCTACTCCAAGTCAACTGGACACTCTCCCCACAGAAGTGCTGTGTTTGAGAGGACCAAAGTGAATCAGAAACAGGCCTCCTGAAGCTTCCTGTGTCCATGAAAGGAAGGCTCAGGAGCTGTCAGGGTTTGTTGTTTTGTTTCTGCTCCGAGACTGAATTGGTATGTACTTGCCAGAATGCCAATCCACAAACCACCACTCTTGTCACTAAAGTCTTTTCCTACTTAACAGCAAATATGATTCATCTTTTAGCTTCTACCCCCTCACTTCTTATGGGTCAAATTCACACTCAATTAACTTGCAGTTACATTTTTCTACCTGATTCTGTAACTGCATCTACCCTTTTCTCTCCTGAGGGCGCTCTTTCTCAAACATCAGACTGACACCTCCCCAAGGATGAACGTTTTGTTTCCCTTATCCCATAAGGAGCTCCTTGAGGGAGGACAGCAGGCTGGCTCTCCCTGATCACATTCAGGGTTCTGCCAAGGAATGAGCAGAGGTCAGAGCCACACATTCTCTGTTAAAACAGTAAGGGCAGGGACAGAGTGGGTGAGTGTGCTGCATGGGAAAGGAAGGGCTGCTAGATATGCTCACCTGGGTAGGGGTGGATGCCATTGGCAAACACAGCTTCCGCAGCAGGCTGCCCATTGGCCTGTGGGGGGAGGCCAGTGAAGCCGTTCACCCCAATGGGGGACGGGATGCTAGGCACGGCTGGTGCAGTGATGCCCGGAGGGGTGCTGCCACCTTAATTCCAGAGGTGGGGAGGGGTGGAGAAAGAGGGAGTCAAGCAGAACAAAGGTGAGGCAGGCCAAACCATGAAGTTCCACCCAGAAAACTCCAAGGAACTGGGGATAGACTTGGAATTCATACACCAAATAAGTCCTACCTGTGAATATGCCTTGGAATATCTCCATGTAAAGAGTGACTCCACCCATTCCAATTGTTTCCATCCTTTAAGACAGAGTCCAAATCCCACCTAGCCCATGAAGACATCCCTGACCACTGACCACTGACCACTAGACCTTGGGCCTATAGTACACACACTGTTCTCAGTGTTCTTCACTTTAATAATATTTTTTATCTTCCTTCAGTCTTTTTCAGTGGTTCTTGCTCACACCAGCTAAGTCAGCATGGGCTGGTCCTTGTTCAGCCACGAAGGGAGTTCTAACTTGCTGGCTCAGCTTTCTTCCTCTAGATTACTGAATGGTTGATCTGCCTCCTCACAAAGGAGTTTTGCTACTGGGGTAGTGGAGGTCTTAATTTTGGTGTTCCCTTGCACAGAGAGAGAGAGAGATAGAGAGAGAGAGAGGCCTTTGCAGAGTCCAGCCCCAGCCACATTCATACACGAAGTAGTCACCTTGGTCTCCTCCAGTTGAGGCAGTGGTGATGATCATTGTGACGAGGGTACAGTTGGGGTCAGATGACAATAGCCTGTGCCCTCCTTGCGTAGATGGTGTGGTGACTGTATTGAGGCCTGAGACTGAAAAGGCCTGTCCTCTTCATGTAGGAAGCAAGCTCTGTTTGTGGACAGGACCTAACTCTGGCCTTTAGTCAAGAGTATCCCTAAGTTGGGAATCAGAGCTGTGGGGTGGTGCTCAAGTTGGATCGAGAGATGGCAGTCTTTTGTGGCTTTCACTGGGGAACAAGCTTTTGGATATCAGGAAGGCTGCAATAATGGCCTGAGTGCAGAGGGCCAAGGAAACCTGGTGAATGAGAACCTGGAGTGTCAGGTCAGATCTCGGGAATAGACAAGGGTCTGATGTTGACACTACTGACATTTGGGACCAGACATTTCTTTGTTATGGTGAGTTGTCCTGTGCATTGTAGGATGCTTACAGTAGCTTGTACCGACTAGATTATAGCAGTACTCCACGCCCCCATTTTGTGACAACTAGAAATGTCTTCAGACATTGCCAGATGTCAAGGGAGAGGGTTGAGGTCGGGAGGACAGGATAAAATTGCCCCTGGTTGAGAATCACTGAACTGGACAGTAGTCAAGATCCAACTGAAAGCATGCTCTGTGAGCAGGGTTGTTTCCAGCCCACCATTCTTTGATATTTCTTGGGTTCTTGCTTTTGTAACTGTCTTGGAAAAATTCAGTAAGCCTAAGTTCGGTATACAGGGACCAGGGACCAAACGAGGACACAGAATGGGCAATGTTCTTCTCCCTTCAGACCTCAAAAGGAGATGCTTCCATGTTAACTCCTTTCCAGATAGCTACAACGGAGATCATGGTGAAGTGCTTACTGACATGACTAATCAACTTGAGTGAAATTATCATCACCCTGAAATCATATTATGGACTGCATGGGACACACATGCCATTTTCCCTTGGGTCCCCAGGGATCAGAACATGTTTGAGACAAACTGCCAGAGAATCAGGGCTGTTTGCACCTAGATACCATGTGCTCTGGCCACAGGATGATCCACTGGTAGCCAAAGGTCCCAGCCTGGGTCGGGTTGTTCTCCTGCTTGGCCAGGTCCTGGGCTGGTAACCCCCAGCTCACCTGAGGTTGGGGTCATGGGTGCGGCCGCCAGGCCATTCATGTTGAGGGCTGCCATCTGCTGCATCTGGGCGGCGGCGAAGGCAGCCATGGGGTTCAGGTAGCCACCCTGCGCGACTGATGCCATTAGTGCCGCTTGCTGCTGCATCAGCTGGGGCAGAGGGAGTGGAAAAAATATCATGCACTTCCGGGAGGCAGCCCTCCCCACCAAGGGGTTCAGCAATGGAGGCCAACATCCCAGGCCTGAATACTAGGGAGCTTAGACACATTTCCCCTGAGAGCCCTGATACTTGTTCAATTCCTGCCCTTGTTCTCAGTGGCTATTAGAGACCACCCCGAGAGAGAACTATATTCAAAAATAATGGTAGGGTCTTCAGGGCTCTCAAGTTGTGGTAGATGGCGGGGGAAGGGGACTGGCTCCATGCGTGCTCATCAGCCTTGGGATAGGCCTATCATTCGTGGAATTGCCTCCCAAATTTCTACAGACATATTGGATAAGCCTCTGCAGAATTCATTTAGCTTGAATTTCTGTCAAAAATGGTCCTAACTTGGAGTCTTTGGGGATAGAAGTGACAGGAGAGTTGTGAAAAGAACTCAAGGTACCCCTAAAGTTCTCAGAATAGTTAGTGGGGACCAACTGGAGAGGTTGGTTAAACTGGTCATGTGTGGACAGTTGCTAAATAAGGGAGGTGAGCTTACAAATTTAGAAGCTGAACACTGGCCTACTTCAGTTATACCCGTGGTGTGGGGTGTGGTAGGCTAATCAGGGTAGATGCTGGCAGAAGGCTCCCCAACATAAATGAAAAAAGTGGGCCTGTGGTCTGAGGCAGGGCATGGGGAGATTATAGGGGAAGTGTGGAGTGCCTTGGGACACCTCACAACACCCCTGCTAGAGTAACCAGGAGGCCTGAGGACATACTTCTATGAGAAGGGACACGGGTGGGGAGATGGCAACCAAACATCTAAACCTCTATCCTCCCTTCCAGTCAGTTCTTCTAGGAGTCAACTGGCAGGGGAATGCCCAGGGTAGCCTACCTTGTTGCCCTGCCTGGAGGCTTTCTCTCCAGCTCATCCCCTTAAGATCCAGGTCAGCAACCTGCTCTCTCCTGGCAACCATCCTACCTTTCTCTTAAAGCCCTCTGGTGCCTACCCCTAGGTTAGCTTCTGACCTCTCTTCACTGCCCAGGGTGGGATGATGTATTTTCTGAGCCAGGTATAGGACTCTCAGTCAGCACAGTTGGGTGTCCTTCCTTTCTAGGGATCTGCGGGGAGTGAGCTGGAGAACCCCTGCCCTCCACCGTCTCCCCACCCTACTGTGCCTCCACTTACTGCCTGTGCATAGGCGCCATAGGCCCCGAAGGGGATGGCCATGGGATTGAACATGCCCATCTGGCCAGCCATCTGCTGCATTCGCCGCATTGTGCGCTCCTTGTCTGTGTCGGCGAACTTGACCACCAGACTGGATGATGCTCCCTGAAACAAAGACGGCACGTGAGACCCTCTTTCCAGGCTGCCTTGGCTCCCAACTGTCTGTGCCCCTGGCCCGGGTCCACCCGCCCTTCTCCCTGGGGCAGTATGGGGGCTTGGAGGTTGGGAAGGCTTGCTCCTGCCATTTGCCTAAGGATCTGAGGGCATTTTCTGAGTGACTTCAGGCCAGTCCTTCTACATCTTCAGACTTCAGTCAGTGTCTTTGTTTAGGAAGTGGGAATAATAGTAATGCACTCCGGTTTCAAGCAGACTGTGCAAGCAGGGCGCCTTTGGCACTGAGGAGAACTCTTGAGAGGGTGATCAGGTCCCTAAGGGGCTGTGTGGGGTGGTGGGGAGGTCTCTGTCTCTGCCCTGTCCAGCGACCCAAGGGGTGGCCACACTCACCGGCATGGTCTGGCTGCCGTGCAAAGCGTTGATGGCGGCTTGTGCCTCAGCGTGAGAGGAGTACTTCACAAAGGCGCATCCTGGGGGACAGGAGCGCCTGAGTCACCAGCGGAAGGCCCAGAGGAGGGCCAGACCAGCAGGGGGCTTAGAGGCAAAGACCGAAGGGCCAAAGGGGAGAGGGCGCATCCCAGATGAAAGCAGAATGGGTGGGACACAGACTGAGAGAGAAAGAGACACACCAAGAAACAGAGACAGAGCCACACAAAACAGAAAAGACCTGGACAGGCCCGAAACTTAAGAGTCCTTTTAAGTCTAGCCGCCCCTTTCCCACCCCCACCCCCCACCCCCACTTCTGGATGTGGCTGGGAGCCTTTATCCCCCCAGGAGCAATCTCTCCTCCCTTTCCAAGCAGCCGTCCCAGGCTCACAAGTCCTTCCAAGCCCTGAGTTCCAGGGGCCTCGGGCTCCACCCTCAGGCAAGCGCAGCCTCAACTGGCCCACTCCCACGCCCCACTCCCAACTCCCACACCCACGCACCCTTGCTGTTGCCGTCGGGCCCACGGAGGATGGTGCACTCCTCGATGTTCCCAAAGGCCTCAAAAAGGCGGCGCACGTCGTCCTCGGACTGCTGCTTGTTGAGCATGCCCACGAAGAGTTTTCTATCTTCTGGAACAAAATTAGGAGATGCTTACCCGGGCCAGGGGGCCGGGCAGCGCGGGGGCGGGCCCGGGGATTTGAGGGCACGCCGGCCAGAGGGTAAAGGTTATGGGGGACAGGGAGGAGCTGGGCAGGAATGGGTCAGGGGCTCGTAGCTGGAGAGGTAGGAGTAGCAAGGGCGGGCGACATAGCTAGAGGGGGAGGGACAACGGTGTGAGGGGTTTGAGGGGAGAGAGAGGGCTTAGCCAGAGGGGGCAGTTGGAAAGGTGTGTCAAGCTGGAGCTGGATTGCAGCGACTGCCCTGTCCTGTTTTTGAGGACAGACTGCACATTGAGGAAGCAGTGCCACCTGTTGGCGCATGGCCCACCTAGAGCACGCTGATTCGTCCTTCCTCCCTCCTCTTACACACATGTTTTCCTCAGCCACTGGAACCCACAGACACCAAAAATAACTCACAGCAGGCAGTTTTGCCACAGGGCCTTTGCATATGCTGTTTTCCTGACTGGCACCCCCTCCACACCTCACAGCTGAGCCCTTGTCTTCTAGATCTAAGTTTAATAATGCTTTCTGGTCTTCAAGACCCTTCCTTCTAGCTCTTCTTTATTCCCCGTCTCAGCCCCTCACTCCCAATGCCCAGAATTCGAAGAGCAAGTCTTTACTGCTTTGCTCATGTAATTTGTTCTATCTAGGTTCCTCCCTGCCCATGTATGCTCCCTAGGGGAAGAGACCAAGCCTCTCTAGGGAAGCAGCTGTATGCCCCAGTAGAGAGAGTATGGAGTGAATGAATGTATGCCCTATGCCATTCCAGGGGCACACCTTTCTGTCTCACATGTGTCTACCTCCACCTAGTGCCCCTCTCTTGTTCCTTTCTGTTTGTTCATGATGCAAAATTTAGCCCTGCGTACTTTGAGTGAGCTATTGCTGAGGACTGTGTTCCCTCAGCAGCCCCCTCATTTATATGGAGTACCCAGGAGTTTGTTGACACCACTCAGCTGTGTGCTTAGGGCGACAGGCTGTGTGCTTAGGGTGACACTAGGCTGTGAATAGACAGCAACAATAAGTGACCGCAAAAAGCTTTCCCTGACGGGCCTCTGTGGTGGTGCAGGCAGTTGAACTACGCACTGTGAAGCCATCCACAGCCTCTGCAGCACGGGTTCGATCCCGGCTGTCAGGCGAGAATCCCACATGGCGAAGCAGACCTCTCCTGTCTCTCCCGCTGCTACCCTCAGTAGTAGTATATTTTGTCAGTCTGCCTGTTCTGCTCCCTGCTCTTTCTCTGGTGAATCCTCTCACCCTTCCCTCGCATCTGGCCTGTACCCTGGTTCTTGTATAAATAAATAAATCTTAAAAAAAAAAAAAAAAAAAAAAAACCTTTCCCTGTCTCCAAGCCTTTATTTCAATGTGACTTTCATTCCTTCCACAGAGAGGTGGGGTCTATGGTCCCTCCCCTTTAACGGGATCAGGGCTTGCTCTAACCAATAAAGAATTTTAAAAAAATGATGTCAGCTGACTTCCGCACCTAGGTCATAAAAAGGATCAGCTTACACTTTACTCTCTTCTTTTGGGGATGCTTGCTCTGTAGAAGTCAGCCACCATATTATGAAGGACCCCCAACAAGCCCACGCTAGGAGTCCACACAGAAAGGCATGCAGGCTCCCAGTTAACAGCCAACATCAACAATCACACATGGCAGTAAGTGAGTCCTCAGAGGGTTCCAGCCTCCAACCATCGAGTCTTCTAACTGAACCCCAGACATGCTGGAGCAGAGACAGGCCTACCTGGCTCTGCTGCTCTGAACTCCTGACCCGCTGAATCTATGAGCATAATAGCTGGTTGTTTCACACTATTCAATTTGGGGCTAGATTGTTATGCAGCCTAGTAGCTGGAACAGGGTCCCTTGTGGCAGCAGTGCTCAGCGATCACTAGCTGTTTGTTGACCCTTGAATGACTGACACACACTAGTCAAGGCTGCTGAAGTATACACCTCAAATTGCAAAGAGCCTTGCCTGATTTCCTCTAAATGCAAGGCACTCTGGAACCATGTCTCTTTGTATTCAGGGTTGGTTGGTACCTCCTGCCCTAGATAGCCACACTCCTGCACTGCCAGGAGAGTTCACATACACCCGAGGGCTCTCTTGGAGTCTAGAGCAAAGGAAAGGAAACCCTCAGGCCGCTGCACTCCTCTTCAGGATCTCTGCCCTGCAGGAACCCCTTCTTGGCCCAAGGAAGGGCTGGGCACACCCCCATCCCATTTGCAGAGCTCACCCACTCCAACATCTGGGTCAGGGGAGCAGCAGTCTGGGAAACCAAGAGGGAGGGAGAAAGTTAGGGGGTGAAGTTTAGGAGAGATGGGGTTGGGGGAAGTGGTGTTAGTTGCAGAGGGAGAGAAAATGGTGGAGACAAAAAGAGGGAAAAGAATTAGAAACAGACCAAGAGCAGAGAGAAGAGATGGGAAGAACGAGCGGGCAGAGACAGAGGAGAGAAGGGAGCAGGAGCTTTTGTTTAACTCCTGGAGGCAGCAACCACATTTCACTGAAGTGGACCAGGAGATTCTGGAAGGCTGAAAGCGCTCTCCAGGCCACCTGGGCTGCCTCCACCCCCAGTGCCTTTTAAGGCGCCATTAAATGGGATTTCCGGAAAGACAAAGAAGCGAAACCCACCCCCTGCTAGTTCCCTTGGCCCTTGAGCTTAAAAATTCTCCTTCCTGGGAAAGAAAAAGGAAGGGAAGAGAAGTCACCTCCTCCGCCTGCATCTGATTTAAATGCCGGCTCCGCAGCTCCTCGGCTTCTCTCCTGACGTCTGAATATATCCCTTTATTAGCATTATGACAGCTTTCTGATTGCATTAAAATTCATCCACACGTGCCTTTCTATCCAGCCACTTTCCTTTTGCCTTTTTCCCCTCCCCTCCTTGGAATGCCTGCGTTAGCACCAGTTCCCCTTTCTATGCCTAACTGAGCCCTTTCTTCTTCAGGACTTTCCAAATGAGGAGGTGACCAGGCTCCTGCTCTTTCTGCCCATAAGGATTCTCCTTTGGGAAACAACTGGCCTTGCCTTTCTGGAAGGCTGTAAGAAACCTAGGAGACCTGGCTCCAGATTCATTGCCTCCAGCTGTTCCTGAATGAGTCACAACTCAATCTCTGGTTTCTAGAATCTCAGACATGTTGATCTTGCCCTCTCATTTCTGGTTGGCTTTTGGTCCTGGCCCAGTGATGCTAATGCTCGTCTTGAAGACCAGGACTGAGTCCCAGCGTGTACGCCTCCTCCTGCCCCAGGCCCATGGTCGAAACCCTGGTTCCCCTGTCTTCTGGCAGTGTAACTACTCCCCAAATCAGTTTTTAGGTATGTAAAATGAGAATAATCAGGCCTCCTGGTGGGTGTTAGGCTTCCAAGAGATGCTTTGAGGCCAAGCCTGGTCAGCAGTGATGACAATGGTGCTGACCATTGTGTGGGGTTCTCTATGTAGGAGGAAAAGGAAATGGAGTTCCATCCCCTACACTCCTTGGTTTGCCCAGCTCTGATTTGGTCAGAGGGTCTACCCCTGCTGTGGGTCAGAGAGGGGAGAGGTCACATCTTGGGAGAGGGGGTGAGGCCTGCACTTGAAGTAACAGGTTGGACTAGACTCAGGCTGCTCAGTAGAGATGGATAACCTCTGACTCATGCCCACCTCCCCTATGGTCATTTTCCTGAGACACTGTTCCTAAGCTGTGGGACCAATTGGCTGGTGTCTTATATCTGATACCAACCTAACTACAGTCTTAGAGAATGACTCAGTTTCCCAGCCAGTTCCCATGCCTCCAGCATAGACACAGACCCCTGAGCAGCCCCAGACCACAGGCTCCCTGCCTGTGTGATGCCAAGTTTATGCTGCCCTTACACTCCCTGGGAAACCCTCCGTCTGAACCCACTTCCTCCCACAGTTGGACTCTGGGGGTATCTCTGCTGCTCTGAGAAGTTCAGACAGGTACTGCTGGAACTGGGCCATGCAGGCCAGCTTGACGGGGAATGAGGCCAGGAGAGGCCTCAGAACCAGGGCTGAAATGGGCTAAAATGCCTTTGGATGGGAGGTCACTGGGACCGAGTGGGAGCAGGGAGAAGTAGGGGTGAGTGGAGGCTAGTGTCTAAAACCCAGGGTTTCCCTCACAATATGGCCCAGCTTACAGCAGGGGGTGGCTGCTTTATATCATTTGACTCCAGGGCCTGAACCTGGCTCCCAACACAGGTTAACACTGACTGTTAGATGCATGGGCCCTGCCAGTGATGCTGAGTGCCATGCAGAGACTTCAACCTCCCCCACCCTTGAGTTTTCACATGGGGTCCTCCTGGTCAAGAAGTGAAGTTCCTATAGTCATTCAACACTGTTTGCTGAGAGCCTTCTCTGTGTCAGACACTGTTCCAAGAGCCATTTCCACAGCAGTCATCCATCCACAATAAACAAGATCGCAAAGGAGACAAAGGCCAGCAGGGGTGTCACACCATGGCCCCTGTGGTGTGCTCTCCCCACACGGAGTGGCACAGCAGGGCAGACCCCAGATAATGCAAGACCTACTCTTTTTCAGATGATGAATTCCGTGCAGAGAGGGAGCCCCAACACACATAACCAATCTGTTGGGGTCTCTTGATTTCCTAATCCTATAACCTCTTGCTTCTGCCTTCCTGTCCTTTTTAAATGTGAATGACAGTAGCTGTGTGTGTAAGAACCTGGGGTTCTGGGGAGCAGGCTTGTGACACACACAGGCAACAGAATGTGCTAGTCCCAGCCCTGCCAGAACCCAGAGAAGACAACTGACACTCCGCACCCTGATGTCCTATCACTGCTGCTGGGGAAGGGGCATGGCTTATACTCACTGCACCCCTACACCCCAAGGAGCTGTGGGTGTGGAAAGTCAGTAAAATAATGTCTGGAAAGTACCCAGTTCTGTGTCAGGTGGACTGGACCAGAGTACATGACATCCTGGGTCTACACTCTGGTTACTCCTTCAGCAAACATTTATCAAACACTTACTA